GTGTACAAAATGTGATCTTTTGCGACGACACCATCCAGTTTGATTATTTGCTGCGTCATACATGAACTCTGAAATATGTAAGCGGTCCTTCGAGATAAAATCTTCAGAATGCCGAGAATTTATCAGTTGCAACAAGGCACAGACTCCTTCTCATGTAGACTTGTTCTTTCTTTTGTCTTTACAGTGGATTGAGTCAAGCGTGTAATCTGTAATTGTCTTAGGGGCGGAAATAATGGAAGAGGCAAAATTAGTTTTGTGACGACACTGCATGACGTAGAACTTGACAAAGTGATTGATATCTCAGCTTACGTTAATCCTGTTTGAAAGATGTGCATTAACGATTTTAGTTGCATTAAAGAAAAGCTCTTAATGTAAGTGGCTTTCGCTCATAGCATTAGATATATTCGGCGCAAATCAGTCCTGTTGGCGAATAGATAACAGATAAATTGGGACCTATATATTGGAACCGCTGTGTGAATTTCAATATTTAAGGTAAGGTTTTCGAAATGGCACGAGAACGGCATTTAAAGCGGTTATGTTTTAAAATATCATTTCTAAAATTCATAGCTTCTCTCACTGTTACTGCATTAAAAATCCACCTCCGTAAAATATAGTAAAATAAATTAGTGGATGTGTGAAATAATTTCTTAATCACAAAAGCAGCAATCTTTGAAACGTATCTAGAAAGTGAAGGGGTTCAATGAAAACCAACGCGAACCTAGGGTTTAATAATGTTGTGTAAGAAGTGAAAAATTGTGTATGCAGCAGGATTTTATAACGTAAATTAAATAAATGTTATGTGCGCCTGTCTTGTCTGATTAAGACGTATGCACGTCTGTGTTGCCTGAAAGATTGAATTCGAGGTCCTTAAGGTTATTTCAAGTCCGTGTCTTTTTACTAACATTTTCTCCGCGTGGACCGCAAATTAAACGTAAAAAATCAAGCATCCGTAACTCACGGACCGAGAGGACGACGTTATTAATTTTTTCTAAAACCCTTAATCAATATGCATATCATCCATACTATTATCTATATATTTCCTATGGAGCAACCATTACAGGGAGGATTTTTTAACACGCAAGAGCTTCTTCAGTTTGTGATCATTTATTTTTTCTTATGAGCTTTAAGTTTGATCTAGGGGTGATACCGTTAAGAAAAATTAGACGTTGATCATTCTCAAGGTTGAAAGTAGAAGGTGTATAATCTTTTGATTTCCCAGGGAAGAATCAGTTGTTGTGATGTTCCGCCATACTCATGGCAAATGGTTCGGCCCTAAATTCCCTTTCCTCATCATGGCATATTTTGGATTAAATTATTATTTTTTATCAATTGCAGCACTCCTTTTCAAAGAACAAAGAGGTCATGTCTCTCTACGAGCGCGCGCGACACTATCGTTCCCACTCCCTCAAACCTCTCAATCAACCAAGTTTACTTACCCAGCGTTCCAAGCGCACACTCAGCCTGCCGAGCAAACCGATTATACCACCACTCATCAATGTACAACGTTATCATGACAACTGGGAGAATGAAAGCGACGAGGAAGATCAGATCTGTGAAACAAACGAGGAAACTATCGGTAAGTTACTTGTCCTGAGTTCTCGTCACTGTTTCCTGGGTTTTTCTCCATTTTCTCCGGTTTTCCTCCCTCTATGGGAACAAACACTCCAACTTCCACTTTGAAGGGGATAAAAGTGAATAAAGAGCCACCACTTAGAGGAGCCAGCCTATAGAACAACCACAGATAAAATTTAATTTTACTAAATTTAACGGTGCCATACAGAAAAATCTGTTTGGTTTTTTATCAAATCTAGGACTAGTTACTCTGTGCAAATATGCAATCAGCTTGTCTTCGTTTGCTTTAAGCTTGGTACATTCTGTTTCACTGCATTCGCTGGCCTGCGCAGGGATTTCCACGTATTTTGCTGTATCACTTTCCCATAAACATAGTTTGCTTTCCTTTGATGAACAGCCTGCGTCAGATATCAACTAAGGTTATTGAGTACGCCACGCGACCTACGGCAGTCTCAATTTTCACAGTATGGGCGCTCTATGGGAAGGGAAGGGGAAGAGGGGTCGAGGAGAGGGACTGGGACTTGAGGTCCACTGTCACCTAAATTACGATTTTCTAATAATAACATGCGCGCATAAATGCGCACAAATTTCAAAGTCCAATGCATAAATTTCTATAATTTCTTTTTTTTTTATTCAGCCTGGTACACACCAGTTGTTGGACTATCCTGTAGCCTGGTGATATATTTCTGGTCATGCGCCCTAGCGTACTACTCTACATCATGATCCGCATGCGCAATATAAAGAGGGTTTGGTCAGAGCATGTGGACGATCCTCGTTTTAATTTACCGATTTTCCCCCAGTTCAATTCAAGTTGACGCTCTGCAAAACAATTCATGATAGGGCATCTTCAGGGTGTTCACAGTTATAACGATGGGACAAATGACGTACAGTGTGCAAAACACGACAGTGATGACGTTAATTCAATGGGGAAGCGAAACTCTTGAATGAAGAGAATGAACTAAGAAGGAACGAGTATAGTAAAGATTAGAGAAAAATCACACGGATAACAAATAACTTATCGTGAAGTGTTGTTTTTGAAACTTAGAATATCTCGAGAATGCCTTGTAAAATTCAGTTTGTATACTGCAGTAAACTTTTGAATATGCAGGTGAAAATGTTCTTAGCTAATGAAACATTTCAAGGCAATACAAATGTGAAGTTATACTAATTAGAAAGTTTGACAATTTTTTATTATTATTATTTTTGATTATTTTTCTGTTGTTATCATCATCGTTATCACAATCATAATGTTTCGATACTTTTTGAGTTGTTCTAAGCATTATTGCTATTATCAATATAATTTTTACTGTCTGGGTCGTCTCATTTTCATTGTCACTATTTAGGTAAATCAAATTTTTTGAATTGTTAATGATTGTTCCACTGGAATAACCAATTAAATCAGGAAAGTGATAAGAGGGAAAAGATTTCCTTTTTATTTGACATCATGTTCAGTAAATGAAAAAGTTAAAATAAATCAATCTTTTCTTTAAGATGAACATGTAAAAGGTGAGACATATTAACTTGACATTTATAGTGTAAAACCTTTGGGTGTTAAAATTCAGTACAAATGTTTCCATCTTCTCTTGATAGGTGCTGTAAATCCATGAATAAATTTTAAAAAACTGAGGGGAAAAGAATGGTTAAAAAAAAGTATCCATTCGACACTTTGCATTTGGCAAACTAAATCTGGGATAACTGATAACTTCCTTGAAAAATAGTCAAAGAGAAACAATATTAGTCCAATTATGCCCGTAAAATGTTGGAAGGTCGCCTACTGGAATGCAAAAAAGTTGCCGAAAAGTTGCAAAATTGCCAAAATTCAAAAAGTTGCTGCGAAAATTTCTTGATATTTTTACATAAACCTAAATGAAGGACTTTATTTTTCGTTATCTCAATAAATGCAATAATTGCAGTAGATAACCTTTGGAACAAAGGTCCTGTTTTAAAAGTGGTTAAATGCCCGGCAGCTAAGCACGTTCTCAAAGTACACTAAACGCCCGGCAGTCGGAAACACCCACCAAGGGCTACGCGGAAACTTCCAGATCGGCTAAAAAATTTAAATCGTTTTTGGTAACCAATACTGCATTTTCCCTCTTTGCCGAAAGTTTTCCATGTTAACTTTATAATTCTCTGCGCTAATTGCGTGAAGCGACTAAGTTGTTCCTTGAAATTCTATTAAATCAGCTAAGGTAGTTTGAACTGGTTTCAAGATTCTCGTATTGATTATATTTTATTCATCTTTAAAACTAAGTTAAATAGCTTGTCCTTAACACCCACGTAAGTATTTTGAAAATATTTATATCGCAGTTATTGTAAGTTCAAGTCATTTCTCACTATTTCGACCTACTCCAAACTTTCAAATTGGCGTTGGTCGCCGACTCGAAAGGTTTTGATCCCTTCGACTCTACACAATTCTTCTCCTTGATTTAGCTAATTTCGCATTTAACTTCGATTACATTTCTGTCATTCAAACTGAGTTAGAAAATCAGGAAAATCAATTTAAGTGAAGTGAAATTGAGTTAACTTCCTTATTGACCTTGGAAACACAAGTCGCTCTAAGAGTTATTTTTAAACTGAACGTGTTTACATCTCAGTTGGTTTAATTTAGTAGGGCATTTGTTTATTCTCATAAAATCTTACCAATGAAAGGGCCTGAAACGCTTCCTTGCTGGAAAAAGCGATCAATTTTACAAAGTTCATCACGAAAAATGATCGAGACCCAAACCTTAAAACAATTCCAATAAGTTCATATGTAAATGTTTTCATTCCTATTTGCACTAAATAAAATCCTCGCCAATTATGCTCGGTGCATTCAATGATAAAATATTCATATACACAATTCTGTCGTTAAATTGATCGTGTTTCGCGAAAGCATAGGTAATATAGAAACTGGCTTTCTTAAACACCCGCTTTTTGAAATGAAAACCGTTACAGATGTAATACCTCTTTGAACTTATGTAGAGCGAGCACGTGTATTGAAAAGAGAGTAATACTCTCTTGTCACGAAGGCTTGATGATCACGTGCACCAGAACATACGATATTTGTCTACGGCGTGGTTATAAACCATAACAATGAAGCCTCAGACAGAGAATTATTCATCTATTCGCGAATATTTTCGAAATAAAAGCATTTAAATGATTTTTAATGGTGGTTAGGTTGATTTAAATCACGTTCATCCCGTATAGAACCTTCCTTACTCGAAAGTGAAACTCTGCGTTGTCAAAATTTAGAGAAAACCATCTGTTTTAACTTCACCTTGGGTAACCCTCATTCACACGCGGTTGTTACCGCGACAAGCGTCAACCTCGTTTCTGGTTGGTCGACTTCAGTTGTTATATAATTTAATGCTAACCATTTTCACCTCAGCCACCGCATCTTTCACTAGACATAACATCAAAACAATCTTTGCGGTTTCCTGTTTACTATTTTACAGTTTACGTTTATGTTTCGATAGTAAGAGCCGAAGAAGTGAAGCTGTAAAATCCTTACACCGGAGCCTAAGAAGTTACCTCCATAATGCCGCAAAGTTACGTAACTCTGAAGAAGGCTCCCCGACCAACGCACGATCCGCCGTTTACGTTGAAGGATTTGAAAGCCGCTATCCCGCCACATTGCTTTGAGAGATCCACATTGAAGTCTTACGCTTATGTTGTTTGGGATTTAACGATGGCGTGGTTGTTATATCTAAGCACGGGCTACTTCAACCATCCTTATCTACCGCCTTGGGCGTCCTATATTCTCTGGCCTCTCTACTGGATTTGCCAAGGCTGTGTTTGCACCGGCATCTGGGTTTTGGCGCACGAGTGTGGCCATTATTCGTTTTCCGACAGCAAAACTGTTTGTGACTACACTGGGCTTGTGTTACATTCTGCGCTGCTTGTGCCGTATCACTCATGGCGAATAAGTCACGCAAAACATCATCGAAGTACAAATGATATGGACCGTGACGAAGTTTTTGTTCCCAGTACAAAAGAAGAGTTTACTAAAGATGGACTGGCAGCTCTGTCTCCCACCTGGAACGTTTTGTCCCTGTTGAAAATGTCCCTGTTTGGCTGGCCTGGTTATCTAATGTTCCACATCGCCGGACGTAAATACCACACTCATACAGATCACTTCAACCCAAAAAGCCCGATTTTTAGCAAGAAAGACTATAAAGACATCGTTATCAGTGACATTGCATTGGTGGTGTGGATCGGTTTCCTTGGCTACCTGGCTTATGTGAACTCTACTTTTTGGCTGTTGAAGGTATATATCATCCCTTATCTCATTGTGAATTTCTGGTTGGTCTTCATCACAGACTTACAACACTCGGATGCCGCTGTGCCTCACTATAGAGGCCAACAGTGGAACTGGCTTAAAGGGGCACTGTGCACCGTGGATCGGGATTACGGAATTTTGAATCATGTTTTCCACCACATTGGAGACACACACATTGCCCATCATCTTTTTTCACTCATACCTCACTACCACGCAGTTGAAGCCACGGAGCATCTGAAGAAAGCTCTGGGAGAGTTCTATTACAAAGACGAGACACCAATTTTCAAGGCTATGTGGTTGACTGGCAGATACTGCCGTTATGTTGAAAACTCTGGTGATATTTTATGGTTTAAGCATGATTAATTTCTGTCATAATATTTGCGTCAAGAATGAACCAGTTTGTGTAAATCACAGAAAATAGTGGATCACTAGACATTAAACTAAACAGCAAATTTGTAACATCTAGATAAGTATAATTCACTTTGATATGTTTTATTTTTTTGTTTTCTTATATTTTTTTTATAACCTTGTATGGTTGCAGCTGAGAAAAGGAACCCTAAAATTTGAAAACATACATTGAAGTACAGTCGTTTCTCCAGCCATTTGAGTACTGCTAACTTGAAATTTCCTCTAATTACCGTCTCGATGATTTATTTTTTCGAGGGGGATTTCTTTCTTTTGTTGATGAAATTTCAGTTTCATGCAGAAATTTCCATTTCATGAGCATTAAGTTCGGTCACCATCAAACTAATCTTACAATATAAATGTTTAAGTGATATGTAAATCTTTCACAATGATGAGGATTTACACAGGCAGGTACCAGATCTTTGTTAACACCTGTGAGCGTCACGCAAAAAAAACAAGATGTAGGCGCAAGATTTTGGTAAGTCCAGCTTTGAATACGGGTGTTATTTATTCCCTTAAGAATCTTTGACCTATTAATGAAAATATAACTTTAAAGAATATAAGAATTGCTCATGATCTTTTCAATATTACCAAATTACTACGGGACTTAGAAACTAGTCAACAAAAATTGCAAAAATTAATATGTTTATATAGAGATAAGCAAGCGGTCGAAAGAAAGGTCGACGTATCGAAAATGAAACAAGAAGTCGAGTAAATATTAAGTTGTCAGCATGGACAATACGGTGCTTTAAATGCTATGGAAACAATTGTTTAATATTTTCAGTTCAGTGCATACTGAACGGCTGAATACGTTTACAGTCTCGGTCCTTAAGTCCTCCTTTACGTCTTCGAAATTCTTCGTGTAACTATGAAATTGCGTTTAAACGACGAAAACGTTTTTATTCACTCAACATAAATCAATCAAATAAGTTTTTAAATAATTCTTTTACTTTACAGTATTGTTGGACTGATTAAAATTATATATTATTTATTATTAAGATTGATAAATAATAACAATACTTTATTTATACTTTATTCACTCAACAAATCAATCAAATAAGTTTTTTTAATAATTCTTTTACTACACAATATTGCTGATTTGATTAAAATTATCTATTATATAATATGTTAAGATTGTTATATAATATAAATACTTTCTTTACATAGCGCTATTTCCTTTAGCTCGATAGCACGTTACAATGATTGCAATCAAAAACTAAAAAAAATTTATAATCATAATATTGGATCCGAGAAGAGAGATAAAAACATATTAACAGCAGTACGTGAATTTAAGTTTCAAAAGCCATGTCGCATGCTAAACTGACGGTAAGATTGATTAAAAAGACGTTTCTATGGAAGGGTCTCGAAATTTGATAGTGAGCTGCTGTTTGATATTGTTGGGACGAAAGTTGCGTAAGCTAGGTGCCGCGAAAGAGAAACACTTATAGCCTTATAACTTACTAGCTTGACAGATGGTACTTACAGTAAGTTCTTGGAAGAGGATCTCAAATTCCCGGTTGGTACATAGGGCTCGAGCACTTCAGTAATGTCGGTAGGAGCCTGGCCGTTAAGCGCTGTGTAGTTTAGTAGTAATATCCTGTAATTAATTCGCTGGTTGTAATGTTACATTGTGAACTTGGGAGCTCATTCAATCAATGTTTTTCTTGTCAGCTCCACAAATAGTGGGGCGAAAAAAAGTCTTCCTTGCGGCGAACCTGGCCCAATCGAGCAAAAACGAATGGAATTCCAGTCTCTCATCGTTAGCTTCAAAAATGATACCTATCTTTCATCTTGAATCCCTGGCCAAGGATAGAGCTGTTTAGTTGTGCGACTACGTAGAGCTTCATGGCACTGAAAGGTGTTCCCTTATTCAGAGATCTACTCTGAGTTGTAAGACGCCCAACGAGTCGCGAACGAGACAGAGACGAACGCTACTGAAGAAAATGCAGAAAGTAATAAATTTAGCCGTTAGGCGTAAAAATTGACAAATTTTAACCATCAGTCGTAAAAAGGTGCCCCGTAAGAAAAAATTTATGGTGATAAAAATGGAAAGATATCAGCCGTTAGCGGTTAATTAGCCAACATTTTAACAGTTAGCCGAAAAAGCCATCACCCCACTGAGACCCTGAGGAAAGAAATGAACAAACAAATGCGACTAAAGGTAAATCGCGATAGAAAACAATTGAGAGACGGATTAAGACGACAAAAGCAAAGTATGGTTAGAAGCTTGGAAGTAATGAAATCGAGTGTGAAAAGGGAGACAAAAGGAGATGACTGCCAAGACAAGATGGACATTAGTTCGGAGTGAGATCGTTACATCAACTTTCAGTAGATAAGGTATAAAGTTGAAACGACCGTCAACTTGAGGCGAGAGAATGAAAACTGAACTCTGGCAAGATTCGTCCCCCCTGCATCTCGCTTTATTGAAATTTTAAGAGCACCAGGAGAGACAATAAATTTTTCTGGCAATAGAATTATCTAATGCAAGACATAAAAAGTAAAAGATAAGTAAACATGAAGAAACAGTTAACTATCATTGATGGTAAACAGGGTCTTAAATTCAGATAACGATGGAGTTGACAGAGCAGTGCCATCAACAGTAATGGGTGCGGAGGCAGGTAAATCTATTATATCAGTATAAATTGGTCTCTAGATTGTAACAATCTTTGACACAAATACTCTCCTACTTCGTTTGCGAAAGTGGATGTGTGCAGATTCTGAGGTAATTCATCGCCGTGTGACTGATTAAACAGGCGTTTACCAGCACGGAATAACTTTCGCTGATTACAGCTGTTATTCTAAATATATTTAGTGTAAAATGCCTGTCGTGCCTTGTTATATATATGATTGTTGACACCATTGCTCTTAGCTCAGTTTGAAGAGAGCCAAGTCGGAATCAAGTTTCGACAACCTCCATCTTCTTTCAGCTTTCTGTCGCTGTCTCCTAGCTTGTCTGATTTCGTCCGTATACCATGAAACTTGCGCACGCACAACAACCGTTCGAGTCTTAACAGGTGCGCACATGTCCAGCAAAGCTTTTTGGGTTTTGTTATACGACAAAACAAGCTCTTTGAGGTCGTCCGGGGGATTTTTGCATAGCTCAGACTTAGCCAGGTCACCATCCAGGGAATCCACGTTAACTAATTTTATTTTCCTAATCGAGAGAGACCTGGTGGAGAAAGAAGGCTTGATTGGGTGAAGTGAATGCTATATTTTGGTGGGCCTGCCATCTGTAGAGGCAAACCTAAAAAAAGATGACTAACAAAAATACGGCATCTCGGATTTCTTCACGAAGAAAATCTTGCAAATCTGCTCAGAAGTAAGCTTTAATCTTTGCTTGATCTCTATTGATCACTACCTTTCATCTAGTCTTTGGCGTAACTCGCTCATAAAAATCGACTATAGACCAGTTTTTTTTTTTATAAATCATGGTACTCTAAAGGCCTTAAAAATGTCGCTCATCTAATGAAAGATTTGACCACGTTCATTTCTTATCACGAGTTTGAAGAACGCTTCGGTAGCAAATCAAATTATCTTGGTTTTCAAGGCCATATGTCTGCATAAAACAATTAAAAAGAGATTGTCTCTTAAGCAGGAACAACAGCTGTGAAATATGGGGAGATAGAGGTAATTCGACTTCAATGGCAGACATACAAATATTGCATAACAAAGCAGCGCGCATCATTTTAGATCTTCCTCCTTGTACTTCTGCAAACGATGCGCTAGCGAGACTGCACTGGAAAACCGTCGCAGAGCAGAGCAGAGCAGAGCAGAGCAGAGCAGAGCAGAGCAGAGCAGAGCAGAGCAGAGCAGAGCAGAGCAGAGCAGAGCAGAGCAGAGTGCAGTGCAGTATTCGCTAATAAATCCGTTAGACTTTTGCCAATGGCTTGAAGTGGTGGTACAAACCCAGAACAGGTGAGTTAAGTACTCAAATTCAGCTCCACGCAAGGTGCACATGTCTTTAAATTTAATACCTACTTTCCTAAGAAAATCATTTGTTTTTAGTCGTAATAGTTTGAATTTAAAATTGATTTAAAGTTAAATTAAATAATCTTTATTGAGCATACCAGATTCAGAAAAAGGATTTACATGAGGGTCGTCCTAAAAAGATTAAAATGTAAAAAACTACCATTATTTATAAATAGGGGAGATAAGAAATTAGTATAAATAGTAAAAGTATATAAATTAAAAAGATTTAAAGAATATAAGATTTAGATAGGAATGACAATTATACATACAGGAAAAAATTAAAATGTAAGGCTAGCATTTAAAACTTTGCGCTTGAAACAAGTTGAGAAATTGTTGATAAATCACAACAACTTTCCAACAAAACAGGATACGGACCTTACCTCATCCATCATAACTGGTTTGAGACCCTATGCCTTCTAAACACAAAAACATCCATTTCTATTTTTCAATCGCAAGATATTTCATATGGATTTGTCGAAAGCGAGAAAGAGCCCCCAGTTTAGAATTTTTCTCTTCCTTCATAACCTACTTAATGTCTCGTCACTTGTCTCTTTGACCCTCTGTCCTCTCTCATTTGATATTGAAACAGCCTACAGTAGGTAAATTTAAAAGTCAGGTTGTTTTATACTTTATTTCCTTAAATCGTTTATTTTTTTTTTCTTTAGCTTTGGTAGTTAATATTGTATTTTATGTAGCCGCAACTTGTAAGTAATGTCCATATTGTATTGTTAGTAATTTAAGTGTATTGCAAAATAAAATTTAAAATGAGATGTATTCAGATGTATTTGTAAAATCAAGCAACCCAAAGGCGTGAAGTCTAGAAAGATACATCAAGCTGCTAATATACCTTCTTCGTAGCTTCATACTAATCTCTCTGCTGTTGTTCCACATAGTAATTTTCTTTTCTTAGATTGTCCATGGCCTTGCAGCAGTTTGGAACTCTTCTTCTTTCTCGGTTGGCTCCTCTACCTTCTTTAGATTAGCGTCACTGTTCTTAACGGGAGCTTCTTTTAATAACTTTAAATATATGAACATCTTATATTTACATATATGGAAGCCTCTTTGTTATTCATTTAGTATTTCGTCTTATTTAGCCCCGAAATGCTTTCACATATCAAGTGCTGCCATTTCTTCGCCGTCGTCTTGCTCGGCCGCAAAAAACTTTGAAGATGCTTATTGCCTGGGCCTTTTCGGTTCTAGGAGATTTATCAGACTCTTTAAAGGAAATAGATTTTCCCTTGCTAACAAGTTGTCTAAATCATTCGCCCATTTACCATACAATACGCTAAAATTAGCGGTCCCTTCGGCGTCATTGCTCGACGCAAGCCCCCCTCCCCCAACTCTATTTCTCATACTTAGCGAAAAGTTGAATAAACACTTAAGAAGTAGCATCACGACCGATAGGCACGAGTCAATTAAGCACTCATCAAGAAGTCCTCGTGTTTTCAGATCACGTTTTTCTATTTGGTTCTTCAACAATTTTTCAAGGTGTTTTCAATATCTCCAAACAGCCATGGAGCCTTGAAGTCTGTTAACAAAAATTCCAAAAATCAATTTGCTAAGAATAAGATCTAAAAGCGATCATTTTTTGCAAAAATGGCTATTTGTGTGTGTGAGATATTAAAAGAATTTGTTTTTGCATCAATACTACCTAAAATAATTGTTGCACGTATGTTAAATCTTGAACACCACTCATATTTTTCTGACTGAAGATGTTAATACCATAAGCTACTTAAAAATCATCACAGGACTTCGAGCGAATATTAACTTGTCGGAATGAAAAACCTTCACGGTATGGTTCGTTTAATTACATTAGAGTACCTTGAAAACATATACTGCTTTCTCTGATTCTCTGGAAGTCACGTCTCTTCTTATATTGTTTTTATTTCTCCACGTTACGAGAACTTGAAAATAGAGGTGTGTCGAGTTCCAACCATTCTTGTTTTCTTGGGCAAGACAAAGTTCCGAATACACTTTCAAAGTGAGATGAACAAATTTTAGTTTCTTTGAGATCACTCTCCAAGTTTGTTGTGAAGCAGCAAATAATTTTCCATTTTCGGGCTCACATTATTATCCTCCATTTGGCCGAAACTTTTTAATACTTAGGAGTGACAAGCATATACTTTCTCCTCACAGTACCACCCCTGAATCAAACATTAAGGTCATGAGAATAAATGAAATGATCGCCAAATTAGGAAAATCTTGATTGTTAAACAAAGTCTCCATTTGATTATCTTAGCAAATGTATAGAGAACAGAATGGAGAATATGTATACTGATGTTTGGGAGTCAGCCTGAAACGAGCGGTCTCCAACGTGAATTGCTTTGTTTAATACTTTAACCTAAAACTATATCTTCTATTTGATAAAACTTTCATAGAAAGGATAGTCAATCTCCTGGGTACCCTGAGAACTTAACGAAACAAAAGCATTGCGAAGCGGTAAGATGACTGAGTGCGTGCAATTCAACACTTCGCACGTTTTGTACAACATCTCTTTGCAACAATAACCTTCCAAAATTCAAATTTAGATATTTGAGGAAACCTGACTCCGACAGCAAATTTTTCACGTCTGTACTTTTTATTGAAAAGCATGACATTCGCAAAATTTTTTTAAGATAAATGTAAAGTACACTTTTTAATTGCTTTTTTCAAAGGCGTCACCAATGTATCTGCTTAAGTTCCTGATAATCGATCTTTTCTAAGGTAGGAATGTGAAAATCAAAAGGACCGGCTTCGTTCTTTAACTGCCTCACCTACGAGTATCGCTTTTGCTTCTACAATGAAAAATTTTCACCGGCATAAATTCACATGGTAATCCCAAAGTAGTGAACACGGAAATATTTCATTTAAAGGTCGAGTGTACACTCAAAGTGGAACTGTTATGGGCAAGAATTGAGCACGATAAAAGCTTGCATGATGGGAAGTCACGTTTTCTCATAAAAACATGAAATTGTCATTATTATTC